GCTAAGAGAACAGTAGAGAAAAAGGGGTTTTGAGAATTTGGCACTGTGTTCCTTAGAGTATTGAACGAGAAATCCAACTTAAAGCCAGAGGTGGTACACTCCTGGACTCCCAGCATCTGGGAACAGGAGGCTCATGTGTTCAAGGCCATCCTGAGATACATGAGCCCCTGCCTCAATACCCGAACCTAAATGAAAAGCAAAAAGATCCAAGTTATGGTGGACGTTCTTCTTGTTTATATTTTGTAGGGACCTGGTCTTGAACTTGCTGCATAGACAAGACTGAGGCAGGATAGGAAGGTGACGTTTAGGGACATGAGACAAAGGAGCCCCTCACTTGGAATCCAGCTGTAGCCTCTCGCTGGCAGAGAAACAATAATTCCAAATTACATTACCAATGCTTACGGCCTTGTTCCCTTCCCAGCTGTAAGCCAATTTTCTAGAAATTTCTCCAGAAACCCCCATTTATGGGGAAAGGCTATGTACATAGCCCTTTGCGCTACCAGAGTGAGTCCTGGCTTCATCCTATCGGATATAACCGTGCCCAAGACATAGTCACAGCTACTCTCTAGTCTCATCCAGAGAGAGGAAGGGGGAAAATGGTGGTTTGGACAGATGGCTTAGTGGTTAAGAGCACTTGCTGTTCTTTGAAAAGCATTTAGATTTACTTACTTTATGTTACATGTTTTGCCTACATGTATATGTGTACACCACCTTCGAGCCACCAAGTCAGTGCTGGGAATTGAATCCATGTCCCCTGCAAGAGCTGTTGTGTTCTAAGCTGCTGAGCCATCTCTCCAGCCCCCAAACACTGCTCTTGTAGGGGACCTGGATTCCAGTTCTGGGAGTCTGATGCTCTATCCTGGCCTGCAAGGGTACCAGCTACGCATGAGGTACACAGACATGCATGCAAGAGAATACCAGTGCACATAAAGTAATTAAAAAAAAAAAGAATTGGTTTTTTATTTCTTATTTTTTTGTTTTGTTTTTTTGAGACAGGGTGGGTTTCTCTGGGTAGCCCTGGCTGTCCTGGATCTTGCTCTGTCTGGATCTCGCTCTATAGGCCAGGCTGGCCTCAAACTCGCAGAGATCCGCCTGCCTCTGCCTCCTGAGTTCTCGGACTAAAGGCGTGTTCTGCCACTGCCCAGTGAGAAAGAATTGTTAAGCAAACTTTTAAGATACAACTTGAGAGAGCTGTCCACATGGTGTATCTGGCTAATGCCAAGACAGTTACGGCTCTCTTGAGCATCCAGTCCCCACCCTCGGGTATGTCGGGCCTTCTGCAGCTTTTCTTCACTGCCTCTCTCCTAACCCTTGTCCTTAAGCAGCTATCAAAACATCTCTAATAACTCTCTGACTTGGCTTCAGTATACCAGCTACTCCTGAAATTCTTTCAGGTGTTGAAGTCACAAATCCTGATTTGGGCTGAGCTGAGGTCCCTAAAAGATTAGGGGAACTCCTAAGGCGGCGGAGGGTGACAGTGTGGAGCTTCATCTCTGTCCCCTCACTGCTGACAAGGATGCTGAGAACATGCAGCCATCCTCTTGCCGCCACTGTGTCCCCCTGTTGGGATTACAGGCATGCTCTACCACATCCAACTAGGACTTCTTTTTTTTAAGATTTATTTATTATGTATACAGTGTTTGCCAGAAGAGGGCACCAGATCTCATTATAGATGGCTGTGACCCATCATGTGGTTGTTGGGAATTGAACTCAGGTCCTCTGGAAGAGCAGCCAGTGCTCTTAACCTCTGAGCCATCTCTCCAGCCCCTGGGACTTCTTTTTAAATGACTCATTTTACTAAACTTCACTTTGTAGACTCTAAAATACAACTCTCACCTCGATGAGAATAAAAGATTGTTTTGGAGCCAAATATGAGTGACCATGGCCTAGAAACACAGATTCAAGTTACCCAAATACATGAAAAAAAATTTTTTTTTGGTTTGGTTTTTCAAGACAAGGTTTCTCTATGTAGCCCTGGGTGTCCATGAACTCACTATGTAGACCAGGCTGCCCTTGAACTCAGAGATCTGCCTGCCTCTACCTCCTGAGTGCTGAGATGTTGTGGAATATTACTTTAACTAGGCAAAGATGTGTTTCATTTGTTTATGTTGCAGAATATTACTTTAACTATGTAGCAAAAATGTGTTACATTTGTTTATGTTGCAGAATATTATGCTAACTATGGAATAGTGGGTTACATTTGTTTATGCTGCATTTGTTTAATTATGTAAAGATGTGTTGCTGTTTACCTTGCCTGCCTAAGGCACCTGATTGGTCTAATAAAAAGCTGAATAGCCAATAGCTAGGCAGGAGAGGGAAAGTGGGGCTGATAGGCAGAGAGAATAAGAGGAGGAGGAATTTAGGCTGGGGAAGAAGAGAATGATGGAGAAAGAGGGAGACATAGAAGAATCAGGAAAAGCAGGACGTACAGAATGAAAGGTAGGGGGTGGAGAGATGGCTTAGTGGTTAAGAGCACTGACTGCTCTTCCAGGAGACCTGCGTTCAATTCCCAGCACCCACATGGCAGCTCACAACTGTCTATAACTCCAGTTCCAGGGGACCTGACACCTTCATACAGCCATACATGCAGGCAAAACACCAATGCACATGAAATAAAAATAAATAAAAATAAAAAAAAAACAGAATGAAAGGTAAAAGGGCTTGAAGCAAAACATAGATGAAACAGGTTAAATTACATTATAAGAGCTAGTGGGACAAGCATAAGATAAGACTGAGCATTCATGACTAATATTAAGGCTCCATGTCTTTATTTGGGAGTTGATTTATGCCCCAAAGAAAGCCTGATAGAGTGAGGTTAAGGTGTGCCACCTCCAGTTTTTGGTGACTGTCTTAGTCAGTGTTCTATTGCTGTGAAGAGACACCATGGCCACAGCAACTCTTTTTTTTTTTTTT